GCAACTTTAGGAAAGCTGGTAAATTACATGGGTGAAAGGCAAATCTAAAGATGTACTGTCACGCCTTTGATAATGGAGTTTTCTAATGGTTTGGATAACTTGTTTGCACAGCACCCAGTTGGCAGACGCCAGGTTCTGCTTGATATCTCTCACCACACTGTCACTCCTAAACTGCAGAAATAGTCGGGCCTTTTGCATTATGGCCTTTTAATAACCGTTTCACCATAAAAAACGAGACAAAGTTTCCAGGTTACAATCAATCGGATGGCCGCGTGACCAGCAGTCAGACTCTAACTTGAATCTAAAAGAGTGTGTGGAACTTTTGAACCTAAGGAGAATGAGGGAGTGGAGGATTAGATCTGATCGTGAACGTTTTTTTTTCAAATGACAACAATGACTTTGTTCAGAATACGCCAAACGTTAATTAACACTTCAGCAAATATGAGTTGCAAACAATCGCTTTAGATGCGCAGAAATAAAAGAAACGGAAGAGCAATGGAGGTTGCGTTATTGACAGAATTAGAGCTAACAAAAATAACCTAGGATATTTCCGTAAATAAAGATGTAGGGATGGTAGGCCACGCCTCAGCTAGTGTGAACTGGATGACATAAAGTAACAAACCGAAAGACAGTAGATAAAAGGTGCCGAGAAATAGAGCTTTTCAGATATGTTTTCGAGATACTGGGCCGGAGGTGAAACGGGGGCACCTTCTACTTGACTATTGATGGTTCGGTATTGGGAACTTTCCTTTGGGTGCTTCCACAAAGTCATTCACACGGCTATTATTTATTTAAGTTGGATTCCAAAACTCGGCATTACTACTGGAACCCTCTTGTCGGAACCTGTTATATTGAGCTCAACGACTGTTCTCATGAAAATGGAACACTCAATTTCAGGGTCTTACGATACGAGGTAAAAATTCATTTACCATGGACTCGCACAAGTTTCTTGGTGTTCATCCATCACATGCTCAGAGCATGACAGCCTTACCTTAGCTTAAAGTCGATAGGCTAAATCAGGTTGACCATCATACACATAACCAGTAAAGTGAAAATACAATTCATCAGTGGCCGCCCAGAACTGAACAATTCACTTTCAGACCCAACCGTTCGGGACAAGTTTTCCAAACGAGTTCCAGACATAGCTCAAACTGTTTCGTTGTTTGGTAAACAAATGTTAACCAATTTCGTTTCGTTTAGGAATCATTCTCTAACCTTTTTCGAAAACGTTTGATGACAATCGATTGATTTATTGCTGGTCAGCGTTTGGCATTTGACACAAAAGCTTCGTCAGGCCAAATCAGGCCAAGTCGGCCTGACTAAGTTAATAAGGAAGACCAACGGTGTTTTTATATTGCTGTTAAATAAACGGCAGTGGTATTCGAGGAGCAAATATCTCCCTAGATAGGACGATTCATCTTTTATCTTGAAGGGGATTGACTTCACACTCAGGTCCGGTGGAAAAGCCAGATTTGTTGTTCTGTCTGTTATGGAAATGAAAATGATCTTCCCAGAAAATGGAGTCTCATTTTTAAATAAATCTTTTAGATACTCCCAGCGATAGAAATGCTGGTTCTCCTCTGCATTCATGAGAGGTTTCTGAAAGACAAGCTACCAGAAAATGGAGTCTTATTTTTAAATAAATCTTTTAGATACTCCCAGCGATAGAAATGCTGGTTCTCCTCTGCATTCATGAGAGGTTTCTGAAAGACAAGCTAAAATCAAAGTACATCGGACGGTACCGCCTCACGTCAGTCCTTATAAAAGCAAGCACAGCGTTTTTCTGCATCATGCATGACCTCGCATTATCTTCGATCAATCGTACAAAAGGCAAGAGAGTGTACTCTTGGACAGAAGTGATCATATTCACAAGATGTCCAAAACGCCGGTCGATGAAATCACACCCGCCCTGAAAAACGAGAAATACCGTAAAGGAAAATTAAGAGCTCAGCTAGATGGCTGAAGTAAGCGGCTAAAAAACAAAGAATACGCAGTAAAAACACTACGATTACCCGAGACTAATGAATTAGCATATCTTTCTCACGTGTGGCACTCCAAGTTTTATAAATTCACCATTATCCAGCTGCACTGTCATCAGTGGAACGTCGGAATGGACACAGCTGACGGGGTTTGGGTAGTCTTTAATGTTAGTATTATTCTTATCGACATTGTTATTATAAATGAAAAGCCATGTCAATACTCTAAAATTAGTACAACAAAACAAATCCGGTAAATGTTGTGCAATCTGAGCTACAGCCAATACAATATTGTAAAAATTCCGGTCACAACTTCCTAATTTCAGTTGATTTTTTATTAGGTTTGACTCTGGTTGTTTTTACCCCTTAACTACTAAGTTAATAAGAAAGGCCAATGGTGTTTTTATATTGTTATAAAAAAACGGCAGTGGTATTCGACGGGCGAAAATCCCTCTAGATAGGATGGTTCCTCTGGTATCTTGAAGGGGATCGCCTTTACATTCAGGTTCAGTGTAAAAGCCAGTTGACCAGCGTTACTTGTTGTTCTGTCTATTCTGTAAATGGAAAGTAACTTCTCTAAAATACGGAATCTCATTTCTAAATAAATCTTCTAACTACTCAGTACTTCCAGTGATGGAAATGCTAGTTCCCCCTCATCAGCTACAAATGAACTTGTGTAGTTAAACGCATTCGTGAGAGGGTACTGAAAGGCAAACTAAATCAAAGCACATCGGACGGTACCGCCTCACGTCAGTCGTTATAAAAGCGCAGCGTTTTCTGGATCTTGTATGATCTCACATTATCTTCGAGCCATCGTACAAGGGGCAAGAAAGCGTATTCTTCAACAGGCTGTCCCAAACGCCGTTCGATCAAATCACATCCACTCTAAAAAAAGACTAGAAATACCGTAAAAGAAAACTGAGAGCCCAGGTAGATGGCTGGGGTAAGCGGCTAAAAAAACAAAGAATACGCAGTAGAAAAAACACTACAATTGCTCGAGACCAATGACAAGCATATATTGAGCACGTGCGGTATTCCAAGGGCTTCATTGGACTTCTATGACTAATAGTTGATATGACTAAGTGCCTGTTTCACTGGATCTGTTCGTAAAAATCCATGGAACTATATCCCATGTGACAGTTCTGGTTTTGCCGACTCTGTACTGAATGTTGAAATGTTGGACGATGAAATGAGCTCCGTTGATTTATGATATAATTTTTTGAACTCTCATTTAAGAAAGAAATATTGCGTACATCTTCGTCCTTATAAACCACCCCTGCTTTATCATATCTGCTCTTCAAATTGGCAGTAATTTCACAGTGACCTTACAGTAAAGGTGGGTCGATGCTGTTCATCATTATTATGTATTGCGATCGAAGAGCTTCTTCGAATTCGCAATTCAGAAAATATGACATCAGTGTTTACCATGGAAGGGAAAATCGACGGTATCGCGCCTATCCGAAAACAGGATGGTATGCTCCTGGGACGAGCGAACCGGAAAGTCACCTAGTCCAACCGAAAACTTACCGTGTGTCTGGCTCGCAGGGCCCGTAACATATGTAAGGGCGATATGTTGCGTGCATAAAATACTTTGATTGATAAAAACTACCTCAAGGAATGTTTGCCGCGACTCATGAGGCAGCCGAGTGGTGGTGTGAAATAATGCAACCAGTAGACTGCATTCGACCGCTCAATAAATGCGACAGAGATTCCAAGATGGGTACGGTTGGTCACTAGCTATTCTCAGAATAACATTTAACGCCTTCTGCGCAACTGAGAATACAGGTAAGTAGCTACCGAACGATCGACACTAACATGGACTACAAGGTGTGTCTGCAACTCACTTGTCTTTATCGTTTGTCTATAAAACGCTCCGCAAGCCATGTGGGTCGTACAACATTGTCTGTCAATAAGGAGTGCCAACTACGTGTCCTGTTGCGTGCGTCCTGCTAAGCCACACCACTTGAATAGCGTGAATGCAGCTCAACTGAACTATACCAATCATCGGATCCAATGGGCGGACTAACTCCGTGTGAACTATAAATCGACAAGAAATCGCTTTAATACCATCAGACAAAGTTCATTCGCAACGATTAGAGCAGCAGTTTGCCTTCAGAAGCGTCGCCTGAAAGCCCTGGACTTGCCGTGGCCAGCTAACCCTCTAATTCAAAGGAATTATGTACCATAAGTGGCTCAGTAACTTAGAGACTCGTTACTGACAAGAGAGATCAAGTGTACTGACGTTTCTACCTTATTTAGTTCTGTTTACGTGTGCACTTGTTTGAAGGGACCAAGTGAAAATAATATATTTGCATCCTATGAGATCTACGTGACTAATTTTTCCTTGCTATATTATCCTTTGTTACAGGAAAAATATAAGTAGTAATTTGAACTCACTAACATGAGCTGAGATTCTCGTAGAAATGCCATTATTTTACCATGACTAGCTCATGTTGTGCATGGTAATCTTTGAACTGCTGATTTACCCAACTTAAAATTTCGTTACAAACTCTGATAATAGAGCTAAGTAACTGTTTGTCATAATTATTCTAAATGTACGACTTTCTGGAACGTCCAATGCTGTTGTCGAATGGCTGAGGGATGGCACATCAGAACTGGGTTGTTTCCAGAACGTTTATGACATCGAAAACATATTTGGTGGTCCGACCGGTTGAGCTGCAAAGTCGTGGGGCGCTGATCATTGGCAAACGTTTGGTTTATAAATGAGCGAACTCTAACACTACTCACAGTTTGTTGCTTGGCAGGATGGGGACTACGTGATCCTCACTGTGCCTGGTTGGAGACAGCAGATCGCCTGAGTGAGTGTCTGGAGGTTTAGGAACCTCGGACTGATTGTGGTAACCTAGCACTAAGTCCCTTCCCCGTCCACCTTTACTCATTTCTTTACAATAAGGCTTTCAAATAAATCATGGTTGTACGGTAGTGAAGCATCGGTGTTGAACACTGATGTCATGCTGTCGATGATGATGATTGTGATGATGATGCACTTTCTTATTTTTTCAGGAATGGGTAAGGCCCGAGTTGCCTAAATTGGGTCGATCTTTCTACTTCCAAATCAATGGACTGCCGATCTTCGCAAAGGGCACAAATTGGATTCCTTCCCGACTGTTGCCTGGTCGAAGTGTCGGGTTCATGCGAAATTCCACATCGGATCCACTTTGGGCTGAGAAACGGCTGCTTCGATCGGCCGCACTGAGTGGGACCAATATGGTACGCGTATGGGGCGGAGGTCGATACGAATCATTAAAGTTCTACGAGGAAGCTGACAAGCTTGGTCTGATGATTTGGCATGATATGATGTTCGCAGTGTCAACTTATCCAGCCAGGGAAAGGTAATCACAACCTGGTTAGCCTGTGTAACCTTTATTCGATGTACAACTGGTGCAATGCAAGCACCTATGCCCCTTTATGTAATGTCCGTTTCACTCTGTTTGCTTATCACTGTTCGCACTCTGTCCATCTCTCACAGCAATGACACTCTTGATACGGTCGAGAGGGAAATTCGTCGTCAAATACGGCGATTGCACGCCCACCCATCCATTATTGTATGGGCTACAGACAACGAGGTGAAACAAGCCATCAGTGATGGTTGGTACGCAACGCCAATGGATGCAAATATGTTGAACGCATTTAGAGATAGATTCGTCGAATCCGTAGCTGAGGTAATCCGACGAGAAGAGCGTTTTGCGGACGATCTGTCCAACAGCGGCCTCTCTTATCAACCCAGGAGGTGTCTGATATCCTCACCGGGAAACGGAATGCTGACAGAAAAAATGCATGGACTAGATGAAAACCCACAGGTAATTATCGAGTTTTGTTCTTCAGCTTTTGGGTCTGTTCGAGCAATTAGTTAAGAGCTCAATGCTGCGCAGACCAGCTAGGATCCACAACAAGTATCCACAAGCCAAGAACCCTTCACACTAAGGAGAGGTCTTTGACTGTGGAACCATGTCCGTACTCCAGCAGCGCGAAGCTACAAGCGTCCTGACAGGATGACCACCGGGATTGCCAATCAAAGGTGATTTACTCAGGAATTGGCTTTACTGGATAAATGTGCTTAAACAGACCCACCAAGAACTACGTTTTTCTATGTTTGGTTCATCTAAAAGGTGAAAAACTCCCCCCTTATTTGTAATTTAATGTTTCTTTTAGTACTAAAGCCACCTCAGAAAAACATTTCTGCTGATCACTTCAGCTGAACTGTTCGAATAGGACAACCTTATCATGAAATCGAATAAATCTATCTAGTTTCCAAGTTATCTGGATAAATGTTTTTCAATTAACTTTAAAAAAACAATGTAAAAGATGCACATATACTTTGTAGTAGAGTAATTTAATTGGTTTCACCAAATTTCCTTCAAATCTTATGGTCTTTGGGTTGAGATTAACCCCTACCTAGGGTAGCAAGAAAAGACGTTGTCGGTGGTTTGAAGGTTTCGGGGATTAACTCAACGAGGATGCAGACCTATTACGAGTGGCTTCAACCACAATTATGAATGGATACCTTTCTACCGACCGAAACCAGCGCCACAGAATAAAGGCTTCTGGTACCACATGATTGATCGTCATTCTTGTCCCTATTACTGTTTTAGAACATTTCCTCAAAGTAATGACTACTGAAATCCGATGAAGTAGTGGTTTTAGGTTCAGTATACTTGTTGCACTGTCCGTGACGAAAGGCTTGTCATGACCCTGAACAAGACAGTCAGATCACTTTTGCATGAAGGCGTTGCGCCAAGTGAAAATATTTCACAGCCTCATGCAACCACCGTAAATTCGAGTTTTGTAAGAGTCATGGGCTTATTGAGGACCAACACTTTTTCACCTAACAAACTGAAGGAACGTCACCCCTATCTTAGCCAATAATGATGAAGGTGATGCACACTCTGAGGTTCGTTTCAGCGGATTATCTCGCTGCATCCCACAAATTTTGGCGTTTGTTCACAACAACATCCCGTATGTGTGAATACTACGTCCAGACCCACTGGTATGCACCTGGGGTAACGGTAGACACAGAGCTATCAAAGGATTTATTACCGATGTCCTGAAGCTTGAATGGGTTTTGTGAGGAGCTAATGGTAACGCAAACTCTTTGTTCCAAGTGTCAGTTACCAGAGCCGTCCTTGTTTGGAAGTCTCATCCCATCCAGACTGATTTTTCACACACTATCTGAAACAAAATTTGTGATTACCTATTGTGAATGCCGTTTTTTCGTGTGCGGTGATACCCGTTAAGATTTTCTCACAAAACAAGCAGATTATTTACTTTTTCCTGTGATTTTTTGACGGCAAATCATTTTTACATAAAAATCTGTTTGCCATGCATACAGCTCGATATTCAGTGCGTGAAATTTGTTCGTGACAAGCCCGTTCCAAATGTTGGGATAGTCAAAGCCAATTTTAGGGCATGAGATGACTTGTGCGCAGATATTTCAAACGCAGCTCGATCGTAACCCTTATGGTAGTAAGCTATACAGTCAGACACGAGTAAATTCACTTGGAAAGTTGTCTGAATTCATGTGAACTGTGAGGACCGTTGTGAATGGCCATATCAGTCAGTGTAACGAAAGCATGTGATATCTGCTGGACGAATAAAATTGATTAGTCACGCGGAAGAAAACGTGCGTATTAAATGTCCCAGGATAAAGATAGGAAACGTCCAATGTCAAGCCGATGAACAACCACTTGGCCAAAGTTTTACACATTATAGGCAGACAAACGGTGTCGTAATGAGGTCAATCGGACCAGTGCTCAGGGGCACTTATGAGTCATTTTGTGCAAACTCTGAGAGATCTGGAAACTGGCGGTATATGCAGACGATCTGTGGCTGATAAAGTTGTCATCTGCTTGGACAACGATCAGGCAAAATAATTTTATTCTACGCTCAGAATCGTTCACAGAGTTTTACAATTTATTGTGGAAATGAAGGAAAAAGATGGAATGACGACGTTTTTTGATGTGCTTCACATGGGGCAGTGTGATGGATCGACCCCTAATGGTCTCTTTAAGAAAACCAACTTGATAAGACAATGTCTGTGTCCTAAAAGCTTTGCTCCAATTGAAAGAAGGTTCTTCTCTACGGCCCCCACCGATATTCGATACCTGGTAATATTACACATGAAGTATAAATGCTCAAAGACAGTCTCAGACGGAACGCAAAGTGGAATAGTGTAGTCCTCAATACACGCGCCATGTGATTTTAGCCTTTCTCAAAATATAGTCTAGGTTTTGTAAAGTAAACTACTCACAAGGTTGCTGAAAACTCCTTGACAGCCAAAGACCGGTTTCGCCCTTTTTTGGGCTCATCAGGTAGGCACAGTCCCCGGGTTTCCGTCAACTATATGTTCTACTTGAACCCAAACTGGACTCTTTTCGAGAAACACACTCATTTGCAAATCAATTTGGTTTTCAAAGACTCAACTGAATCTCTCGTTTATGCTATTCTACAACTTAGATTCTCCGATGAAATTTTCATACCGGATGCTTCAGAACGGTTGACGGAAACTCGGGGACTGCGCATACCTGATGAGCCCCAAGAAGGGTGAAACCGGTCATGGGCTATCGAAGAGTTTTCAGCAACCTTGTGAGTAGTTTCCATTGTGAAAATATACTGCGATATCTCGAATATCGTGCCAACTGAATCATGAGGTAGCCTGTGTGCAGCACATTCAGTTGTAGAATATCATAAACAAGAGATTCGGTTGAGTATCTCGTGAAAACCAAATTGATTTGCAAATGAATGTATTTCTCGAAAATAGTCTAGGTTTGTTTGTCGTTCAAGGGAAAGAACTTTTTGTTCCTAACTAGGTGCCGTCTAATAACAGCGGCCAAACGTATGCTTAATTCTTCTCACTAAACTCGTCTTCAACAAACTCCGTGAATTTGAAACTCAACCAAAACGGACGCGGTTGCTTTGTGTGCCAAATCCAAAGTGATCTGTCTGTTCGATTGTATCTGTAGTGCTAGATGCACCAACAGGATACAAAGCCACAGGGGATACAAATAGAACAGCCCGTACCGAGGTGGCTAGCCAGATCAGACTCGCGTTGTCCAAAATTTGCCGTCATCAAAGATCTTCTAGGTATTGGCCAGAATGTAGATCCAACGATGGCCTACCAAGGGAATTGTCCACCTGATTACGGAGAGAAGTTTATGCTTCCTAATCCTCCCATATCTACGCAAAAGCAGTCAATAATTAAGACATCTTTAACTTGGTAATCAATTCACTGCCTGTATATTTGTTGTAGTTTACTAGTATCCTATCAAGTAATTCAATGGGGCCGTTACACATACTGAAAGTAACGGGCAGCATCTGTCCATCATCATTATGACGGTACACTTGATCCACTGTTTTTGTAAATCGTGATTAAACGATTTTAGTTGTCTAGGTGACATCACTTGCCCCACTTTCGTCGCACTGACTGATCTAGCCTTTCAAGTCAATCTTCACACATGACATGAACTTGTGAACCTTTGTAAATTTACTCATCTTTCCATGACTTAATGCATGGGGGTGGCTGTCGAGTTGCGATACACTACCTGTGTACAAGATAAGCTTAGTTTTCTCGTATTTAAAAGGACGGAGACAGGGTCGAAGTCGACAGCTGCAATCGTTTGCACAACCTAGTGAACCGGAATCCTATAAATGGCAACAGCGTGAAATTATCAACTGTGGTAATCATAGATTATTGGCTCAGTTGGGCGCCGAAATAAAAGGGTTTTTCAAACATCCCTGTTCAGTTTACACCCTTGAGGGGAGATTGAAGGACCCGATGCTATCATGGGTGGAATATGGCATACACACTACGATTTATTATGGTTAGTCGGAAGTTTATCACAATGCAATCGGTTTGGCTACAGCTATTTAAGTATACCGATGTAACGGCGGATACTACTAATGAAGCATGTCAGTAGTTTCTCATAAATCCGCTTCGCGTCTATTGAAAAATGATATTCATTACGGAATTTGTGGAATCACTTTGTAGCATTCATTTACGTTTGAGTGACAGTAGATGAGTATCCAGGCAGGCCCAGGAATACGCGTTCGGAAGAAGACAGATGGATACACAGTTTTCATAAACAAGATGCATATGAGAATTTTGCTCCCCTGTCCAATAGTCTGTAACTATTCAGAACTATAAAAGAGTACATTTTTCGAGAAAGGTCCAATTTGGGTTCAAGTAGAACATAAAGTTGACGGAAACTCGGGGACTGCGCCTACCTGACGAGCCCCAAGTAGGGCGAAACCGGCAGTGGACTGTCCAGTTTCCAACAACCTTGTGAGTAGTGTCCTTTATGAAAACACTGAGGGTACTTTGCATGCATATCAAACATTTCCCTACTTTAAAACTATTTCTATAAAAGAGAATACCAATAAAGTCCATACTGTCCTTGAGGTAAGCAGTTTTGGCTAATTTCTAAACTAACGTTTAATGTGTTGGTGCGTTTACCCAACCGCCCAGCTAAACAAAACCGCAATTTAAAAGGATCAGAAACAAAATGATACACGTCCTTTCAGTAGTCTTGCAATTAGTACGGATGCCAGTAAAATTTTGGTGCAAGATGTGACTGAATAAATCCGAAATCACCGGCTAACCCGGTCTTCTTAGAGATAGAAGCCAAGTTCATGCTAGGAAAAGCAGTCGCTGACCCGATATTCATTTGAAGAATATTAATATGTGGGAATTTTGAACAGCTGAGAATGGTTGAATGAGGTTTTCCATCAAACAATGTGCAACGTATAAATGACGAGTAAAACAAAAAGTTTTTTATAAAAGTGCCTAGTGCCAATAGTTATGATAGGATTACACAAGTTCCCGAGATCTCTGCTGTTCACTGAGTTCTTAATAAGCTTAACCTGCACAAAACTTAACTGGGTGGTGGATTCGGTGAGTTTTTCAACCTCACTTCTTATGTCCGAACCAATTGCGTGCGATTGCGACAGTGTCCTGGTATGATTAGGTTCTCAAATATTTCATCGAAAAGTGATCAGCGGTATTACCGAGCAATTAGCAGTTGGCAATAAGGCCCCACTGAGAACTCAGGGTTCTAGTGCCGCTCATTTACTTACTGTAGACGTATGTTTTTGTTCCCTCAGTATATGTTCTACGAATAATATGCTTATCATACGTGACTGGACGATGCACCTTGGATTTGGATGAAATTCAGATAAACACTAAGCGCTTTCAATGATATAAAGGGCACAGTTGCGATTAAGCCTGCTTTGGAGCATTTCCCCTGTTCCAGAAGCTAATTTGGTGAACTAGGAATACCAGGAGAACGCTGAACAGAACGAGACCTTTTATGTCCTTAACTTAGGGAATTTTAATCATCGAACGTATCACTAGTCACTGGTCACAGAGGAACACTAATTTTACACTGAGTTGCACGACATTGGGAGATTGATATCTGTTCCAGAAGTTATCTACTACACCAGGCTCTTTGAGTAAAGTAGAGTATGTTGGCCAGCATAAGAGTGTTTCAGCTCGTTCAAACCTGGAGAAGTAAGAGGAAGGGGGGGGGCCAAAAGGAGAAGGCAGTTCGAAAATCACCAGTATGCAGTACTGACAGACTATGAGTGACTGCTGAGTAAGGTAGGAATGAGTAAAAGCATTGAATATATGGCGTTTGAACCGGGTGGACTACTGGCGCAGACGATTTGCCAACCACACTGAGATCAGACTTATTTGACGAATTATGACGAAATATATTGCGGCGTGGTTCGAATTACGAAAGTCCCATTCTAAGAGTTTCGACATGAGGCGGGTGCGGTGCAGTTTGCTCCCTCTGAGGAACATTGTTCGATTCCAGTGGCTAAGCTTGTCACTACCAAGCTTCTCATTTTCAGAAAACTGCTCTTATTTTGCTCTGTGCAGGTAAAACCATAGGTAGAAAGTATTAACTCAAGTGAACTCAATCGAGAAGTCAAGGCGATTCTATAAACAAGATCCGACTGAACAAAGTTTGACTACTGCAACCCGTTGGGGTGAGACGTATGATAGTCAAGAGACTTTAATTGCTTTTTTCACTGTTCTACCAGGACCAGCGCTATGGTGACGTGCACTTCTATTTGTACACGAACAAACTGTGGTCGGAGACTGTGTACCCAGTAACACGCTTCACTTCGGAGTTTGGTGTGCAGTCGCTTCCAAGTCCACTGGCATGGTTCAGATCGCTCAGTGACCCAGCGAAACCAGCTAATTGGAATGTTCGTGGGCCGCTTATGAAGAATCGTCAGCATCACACGCTGGGTTTTCTGTTTCTTGACCTAGCTGCCGAAGTTATTGGTGCGCCAAGTGGTGCTCCTGACACCGTGACAGAATATGCCAAGTAAGTTTTGCTGTTCAGTAAGAAATTCGGGCGCTTGCCTGTAAATTAAGCAGAGACTGGCCCCACGGTTGACCTCGTTCCTAAAGCACGCACCAGCCCGTTGTCTATGCAAACCACTTGACCAATAATAGCAAGATTCCACCAGAAACTATCGCAGCAGTACACTTTCTCACACTGTTCCGAACTGCCAGTTAGTCTCTCAGCTACCTTTCTTCCTCGCGGTACAGACACAAGACTATCACACATTTTTCTTGTTCTAAGAGATAAAGAACAAAGTTAAACATTCTCTCGACAGTGTGATAAAGTTCTTCACAGTCGGCATATGTGTGTGGCTGGTCGCAAAAACCAGGTATCATAAATCCGTCGTGGCATGCGGTAAGTTTTACAAGTCTTTACACAAAAAGCTTGTACGTAGCCGGGAAATTTTGAACGTTAAGTCGAGCTTTAATCCTACTGATAAAGCCATTCAATACCCTCTGACTGGTGTTGAAAGTGATGGAGCAGAGCACATCTCACCATTATCTAAAGAGATACTGACTGGAGACATTTCATTATACGCAGTGACAGATGGAACTTTATGAAGTACTGTGTAGCCGGTTCCGAATATCCTATGTAGCAACCAGAGCACCGAAAATTTCATAGCTGGATGAAGGCTGCTTCACTCCAACGGAGGAATGTGTCGAAAAAAACTTAGTAGTTTAAACGGGTTCTGCCTATTTTCTACCGGACTTGTTTGAGAAAGACGGAGAATGGCCCCTTCACAGCTCACGCATAAAGTTTAGAAGGCAGACGAATTGTTCGGGAACGGCACTTGTCTTCTGATATCCTCATTTTTAAGGAAAGTCAAGTCTGAAATTAGGCCTTATTGGTACATCCGTCCAGCTAACATCTCGTCTAAACAACCGACAGGTATTAATTTAACCAGCGTGAACGTAAAGCGGAGTTGTAAAACTCAAACACAGCTCTGTTCGACTCGTGAATTCGTTGACCGCATTTTTGTCTGATGCCAATGTATCGGTCACTAACCCATCTATCATTGATTCCAAAGGTCCAGCAGTGGCTTCCTGCTCATTGAGTGAAGCTACTTATTGGCGGTGTCTGTCCATCCAAGAAATTCCAAAATCTCAATAATGCTTCTAAAATTTCCGTGATCAAGCACTAAGTTTTGTGCGAAAATATACCAAAAGCATCAGTAAGTGTTCGCCCCGGAAAGCGATGCTCAAGCGAGATGCTCTTTATCACCTCTCCGAATCGATATCATATTTGAACTGGTTATCTCACAGATCGCCATATCTTATGAACATCTTGACGACCCTGAGAATGCGGACGATTTTGCACTGATTAATTCACCTCCCATTGAGACAAAAACGCCGACAAAGGATTAAAAAAAATATGGCTACGGAATATGGCAACAAACTACGAGGTTCTAAAGCCATTCACCAAAAAACTTGGCCTGCTATCCGTCTGCCTAGGGTCTTACCTTTTCTGTGCACCTTCATTCCTTTTTGTTATTAGGTGTCTTATCTTTAACCGTTCAATCCATCAGCTGGTCTCCTAACCATTTTTTCATGTTCACACCACCGCCCGGAAAAGTAAACTAAAATAACGCGTTACTAGACTCAAAAGATATAATCCATGCCCCAGTTTTTCTTTGCCAGACTGATAAACAGGTGTCTCTTGCGGAAAGTGCGCTTTTGTCTTTTGTCAGTCTGTTTCCAAGACACAAACAAAGATCTAGTTTAGTCAGTCCATTAGAACAACTCGGGAAGTATTCATCTAGTCCACTTTCTACTCTTAAGTTATCTCGTAGTCCTAATTCACTGTCGATGATGTTGTTGATATCTATGGGAGTATCTGCAGGAAGTGTGATTTATTGGTCTGGAATCCAACATGCTGCATATTCTGCTCGGTTCATTTGATATTAATGCGGGTCGATGAAGCGAACCGCACTCCTTTACCGGTGCAGCAATCCTGGATTTGAGAATTCTGTGAAAGAACCCAGCTAGCAATGGAAATCCACAGCTAGATGTGGCTTCCCCGATGCAGCAGAGCACTTGACCCGGATGGTTCGTGTCTAGCATATTTCAGAGATAATGCAGTCATTGTGAGCAGTCTGAAAATCCAACCGCTTGGCTCAAAATGTAATTTTAACCTTTACAAAGTGTCGAAGAACGTAATATAAAAACCTAAGTGCCCCTTGTAAAGGCATTGTAAGCTAACTTCGGTGGGCGCGTACAAAAAGCTAGCGATAGGGTCGACCATATCCCGTGATGTAAAACGAGGTTGCCCACTTTTCCTCTGTCGATTATGTTACGGTTCGATAACGCTGCGAGCAAAACAATATATATGCGGATATGTTGCTTGATCCAGACTCCTAGCACGGCGGATAGTAAAAAGACGAAAAACCTCAGACACAACCTTTAATGATCTAAACAACACGCGATCATGGGAAAAAATGACAATGCATATAGATATTCATAGTTTGACCTTGAAGATGCCGGAAGTTCGCCAGCACATATAAAAATAGAGTTTTTTTTTGGGGGGGGGGATATTGATATCCCCACAGATTACTGTTCAAGTCTATCACTGGTAAGCTGTTTGAAGCTTTCATTCTACCCGTGAAAACTCGGAAGCTGAAATCTTCCAAGGAAGTTCGCCCACGGACATTTTGTACGCAGATAATGTTACCGTCTTCGGTTGGGCTTCTTAGAGATACTAATCACTTTAAATAGATCAAGGCAGATTTTTCCAACCTCAGGCATACTGTGTCTGTCAGTGGAAGAGGATACGCTGAGGCAGCTTGATCCACACCTCTGTGTGAATCTGAATCGTGAATACTTCACTTCGAAGGTGTACGAAAATTTCGGTTCTAACCATCGGTGTCTTCGAGGCACTGGCCCGAGCTGATAAAATATCAGATTAACACTTCAAAGTCTTGCCAGATGGACTCAAGAATAGATAACCCCCTAACGACTGACAGACTACTCAGGCTTTATGGTTGTCACCTAAAAACGGCATAGCAGAGGACCATCCATCTAAGAGAATTCTTTTTTTTCTAGTTCTGCGCTGCGTGGAAACGACCTAGAGGCGGATAGTTCACGAGCTAGTAACCAAGTGTGCGGGGCAAACACAAGTAAACTCGGTTAGTCAGTTAGTTTATAGGCTACAAGCCAGTTATTGAGAGTACACTAGATTCAGCTGCTACGGTTCGGGTCACGGATATTGGACGAGCCAGCGAGATACAGCCAAGCGTTCGAAGCAATTAAATGCGATAGTTTTGACTCACGGTGCACCACTGATTGCACAGTTGGGCCATGTTTATCAGTGTCATCAACCATTGATATGCTCCGGGGTCCCCATCCAGAGAGGCGAAATTTATCAACCTGACTGGGTCTACTGGTTTTCAAGAGAGCTCTGAGAGTTGACGGTCCTCTGGCGTGTGAGGCACACGTCCTAACACGTGTAACTTGTGAAGCTTGAGTAACTCATCCATCGCGAGGAGAGATCCTTTTTCTTCGAACCATCTGGTATACCATAATTTTACCAATCCGATATTCCTCCAAATCCTATCAATGTTTCGGGAACAGTGAACTTAGTCGAAATGTCGACTTTCTCCTCCCTGGTTGAGAACATCTGTACTCGCTCCATCAATGATACTGGGAGACACGGTTCGATCACGCAGTCAGTGGCACTTCCGCTTCAGAGTGATTCCATTCAGTGCATAGGTGTCCGGTCTCCCACGTCAGCATCAATGAATTGGTTGGGTGAGCACCTTTATTGTTTGGTTATGCCTTCCTCAACTTCCCAATTTTTCGTGACCGGAAGTGTGTGTCCACTTGGTACTTGTTTTCTGCTTGATAAGCACCCTGCCGGCTAAAACCACGGTAGGGCTGAGCTAAAGACAGAGTAATGGACGATTCATGCCTGGTTGTTTCGTCTGCACCTGAGGACATCTTTTGTAACTGTTGCCCCCAAGTGCTTAATGTAAGAATCGGAACATCATACCTAAAGTTACTCCTATCAAAGGTAAACAACTCTAACCCTAAAAACCACTCTTCTTTCCACTGTTGACTGAGATACTCTAGAAACAAGAATGATCTGGGTTTGTTCGATATAAGTTTGTGAGAAATACCAGTTGAATTTCTTCTTGTCACCCCTTAACAGATGGGCATACATCACACAGTTGTATCAACTGATGTCATATCGAGCGCATATCAACAGACTAATGAGACATCAATGCCGCTTGGCTTTCTCAGACCTCAAACCGGTTGTGCCGTCAAGTATGGGCTCAGCATACTGGCAACTGAACGACGTCTGGGCGGCACCCACGTGGTCAACAATCGATGCAGCCGGGCAGTGGAAAATGGCACATTACGGCGCCGTTAGGGACTGTTACGCAAACCATCCCACTGGCCGGATTGCAATCCACTCAGATGAGTCCTTCGTTGAGGCTGACTGGATACCTTTTACACATGTTGGCAACCAAAGAAATCTCCCAGACTACTTCCTGTTTCGATGCTTCTCGACCGATAAATTCGATCAGACCAGACAATGGAGCATAAATGTAGACTGGAAACGAGGAAACATCACTTGCCCTGTACGTGTCTTAAAACTTCCAACGTACACAATAATTCGCTGGTGTGGGTGGCCTCCCACTGCAAAGTTTTCCGGTCGGGTGGTTCGGGTAGACATCGTGAAAGGCGGTGTAATCGCACAAGGGGGTTCCTTCACTCTACTGGATATCCCTATTAATGTTAATTGGACTTCATCTGAAAGGAGACGTGGTGTGAAGATACAAGACTTCCAGGAGATTCCGTTCGATCCACAGTTTGATAAAGCTCCGTTTACCGCCACGAGAGTATTCAGTCTCACGATCGTCACACAACTACCCGAGTTGTATATTTGGCTCGATTTGGACATCAAGTTGAATGCTGAACACTGGTATGATCAGAACGCATTTAACATGCTGGATGTGAGTACAAAGCGAGTAAAGTTATATACTGTAGTTGCACCCAGCGTAAGCAAAGCAGAGATTGAAGCAGGCATTCTTGTGACTACTTTATCCAGTGTTTGACAGTAGAGGACCCTATTGGAACCCCATTGTCTACGAGATTTACCATAGTCCACACCCGGAGCGATACACATCTTATCCACGCCCCTTGTTGATAGAGTTCTTTGAGTTGCGATTCTTAATCAGATTACAAGAGAGTGGTTTAACTATTTTTGAACTGAAGAACAGGTGAGAAAGAGCATCAACAGTGTATTAGTAAAGTGATTTTACTATCTGCCTTGCTTCTGTTCGAACGGGTTTCACTTCAGTTTTACAATCCTGAGATAGTTTTAATCGATTGTTACACCGTTTTATCCGACCGATTTTGTAAACTAGACCCAAAATCTCACTGAACACCGGAAAACTGGACGTAAAAACGCTCTTAAAATAGGTAACCTGGACCTGTGAAAGACGAAGGTGCGATCGTTTGTTTTCAAACGACCCTTGTTTAAACCGTATTGTGGGTGGCAATCCATAACGCGGCCAAGATCAACATCATCCTGTAGGTAAATAAATTAACTTGGTAAACAGAAAAGGTCACACTGACAACAACAGCAAAACCAGGGAGCAATAACGAAGGTAATACAGTTGATCGATCAGCTCTCAAAGACAACCGCCAGAGATCATACGAGGATAGAATACTACCTATATACGGTCTTGTGGTAAGTTCCCAAAAGTTTCAAGACGTGGCGTCAGGCTATATAATGCCGTATAAAGTACATCCTGTTTAGATAACATTTGATAGCGCGCACATGTATTGTTGCTGCTGCTAGGATTGTTACATCAATTCCAATACCATGAAATCAGTCATCCTTAAGACTGGTGGTAAAATCCGGAGACTCGTGACAAAATGAAAGACTATCGGTGTAGTGGCATGTGCCACTGACGAAACATACGGATAGTGTCTGATCAGTTAGTTTAAGGCGACGTATCCGATGGAAGGTTAACTTGGAAATTATCAAACCGATTTACGTTGTTTGTTGGTTAGTGTTATATATTCAGGCAACATTAAAGGAAGATCACGAGGGCGCTTGAAGATGTTGACTTTTCAAAAACTCGGTGCAAATGAGGTTATTACCTTCGTGTCTGATACATTGTAATCGCTTAGTTCGTGTTTGTCAAAAGACAACTCCGCACTCGAAGGCGTTTCACCATTCATTCATTTGCAGGTGAATTTCGCTGTGTATAAAGCACCCAGCCGAGAGCCCAGTCGAGTAATAGACAGAACAGAGTAACCAGTGGGGACAAATTTTTTTTCGATTGGCCAATACATAGACATATTTTCAACCGTCTGATTTCGTGGAGCCGCACAAACACCATCATAAAAACAGATTTTATTATAAGACACATTTGAATCAAATCACGTGGATACACATCCACCGAAATGCAACTATTTTGGAGGTGATTTCCACCGCTGCGCATATGTTGCTCGAAATTGTTCATCTCCCATCTGAAGGTATCTACCACCATACTAATGGTTGAGTACTTGTATGAAGTCACATTAATATGCGCCCCTTAGTAGCACTGATGAATGTAGCCAAAGGTGACATATAGTTTCATATCAAACAGAGTTGTTATTCCGAGACGAACCACCTTGAGTGATATGAAGTTGGGGTAGAGTTTACGGCCGAGTGGTTTTCACTGACGTTCCCTTAATGGGAGCTGTTGTACCTGAAATCCTATCAACGCCTCCTTGCAGTAACTTCCGAAACACATAAAGGCTTATCCCAGACGGGTGTTTTCCTCTTCATCCGACCCTTAATTTCATACAGTCCACGCTGTTATTGCCGAATTCACACCTTTATAGTATATGAGAAGTGGATCCGCCTACTTACCATATTAATTTGAATTTAGCTAGTAATGATTGCCATTCCGATAATTCACAGTTTGGTTTCTGTGGAGTGGTGCGGTTTATAAGTTCTGCCCCCAGAGAAAGTGCTCCGCAACGTGCATATGATAACCACTGTCGAATAATTTGGCGGAACTGAAGCTACCGGTTGTGATGATTGGTGTACAGCCCACGACTTTTCAAAGGTGAACTGCGTACCTGCTTAGTCAGACGTCTGGACATCCAAAAGGGCAAAACGGTATCACCTCAATAGCTAACGAGCAGGAATAACAATGCCACGGCGCAAATATCACCCATTTAACCGGCATCGGGTACCAGACCGCCTCTACACAAGCAACTGAGATAATTTGCAGAGTTCCAGCTTTTCGGGCGAACTGACTTCGTCGGTTGATTCTTATCATGGTAACTCAATCAATTGCGTATCCTAATTCAGCCAAGACCGCTAAACTAGTGACCGACTGAGTAGTCAACATCATCATCATAATCGACAGCATAAAATCGTTTTCAACACCGATGCTTCGATGTCGTAAAATTCGAGGTACCTGAGAATATCAGCGTCATGTGACGAACAGAGTCATCAGTCCTAAGTGCTGAGCCCACAAGGAGAGAGCAATTAATGGGGTGGGGAGGATGGGGGGGGGGAAGAAAAAGTATGTGAAAGAGGAAAAAGGGAGGCGTCAGCAGTAGCCTGTTTTCGCCTGCCCGTCTTGCTGTATGCAGCGAGTAATGCGATCCGGCTGATGACACTATGCGACGGCCCACGTGGCATGAGAGTATTGTTAGTTGTAAGTGTCATGGTTGAACGCGAGCTGGGATACTGTCAGGGTGGCCGCACCTAGACAAGAGAACGATTAGAATATTCAACCAAAGCCTTTGGCACAAAACCCTTACCTCAAAGCAGCGGTGTTTGGCGGGAAATGCAAATCCATTCCCACTTCTGCGGAATAAGTCGCCAGACAATCCAACCCTCAACCTGGAGGACCAGAAGATTGTGTTTGTCGGACCTCTGACCATAAACCAACCTGTTTGGGAGACGCTGTGAGTGTGTCGGGGATATCCCTCAGGATAGCTCAAAGGATCGCTGGGTTGCGCAAACAGTCACACTATGGTAAGGTCCAGTCTCTTCGTGACAGGAGTGGTCAACAGCAAGAGTAAAACCCTCAATACCAACCGAATGATTTAAAGGTTTAATACAGGCCGCTAGAAAAATCAGATCTGAATGAATGTGTCGCGCTTCTGTAAGTGTCCGCTTCATCTCACCAGTGTTGCATAGCTTTCCCGCGGATACTTACAAGAACTGCTTTGTTTATTATCCTCACTACTCAAGGCTGATATGTACATCCGTCCGGGCACACTCATTGCCACAGCCAGTTTGCTAGAAAGGGCCATAAAATAATCAGATACATCCAGCACCCTACTAACTAAGTGAAGTCACAACAGGGTGTACCGCTCCAAGCTTTTTAGTGAAATGGTCGGTCCGATTAATCGTTCTGCTTGTCATGCGAATCCTGCTCACCCTAAGGAATACGTCATATTTATATACAGATTGACAATATTGATACAACAATAACACAACAAAATATGACATAAATATGTATTATATAATACGTGGAATTATTCATATGATAATATAAGAATAAAATAATGGGTAGTGGCTTTAAGATACGGATACTCTGCGAACCAAGAAACGAGGAATCGAGCGGAGTAAAAGTGAAGTTGCAACTAGAAAACGTATACTATCTAAGGACTAAACCTCAGCAAGGGCTAAACTTACTTAGTTCCTCAAGGCATAGATACTACCCCCCCCCCAAACAGATGGGATCATTTTAGCCAGTCCCTGAAGTGGTTTCTTTAGCGGGAGGCTCAGTGAGAAATTTTAGAATTCTGTCCACGGGGCGTACGTACTGTCGAAGAGCAGAGGACAGAGTTGACCACATTTCAGAATTTTGTGGTGCTAAGTCCAATAAGAAACAGCTATTCCACAAAAGGAGTTCATCAAGCCAGACTTGAGAAAAACTAAACGTTGAGTTTTTCATTGCCTCCTCACAATGGAGTACTGTAGGGAAGTGTTGAATTCAGCCATTTGGTGCAATTTGGTTTCAAGTAGTACATAAGGTTGGCGGAAACTCGGGGATTGAGCCCACCTGATGAGCCCCGAAAAGGGCGAAACAGGTCGTGGGCTGTCGACGGATTTTCAGCAACCTTATGAGTAGTACATTACGAAGATATACATGTATCGCGACATCTCGAATATCGTAGCGACTGAAACATGAGGAGGCCTGGTGCAGCATATTTAGTCGCCTGAAAACAAACGAAAGGTTCAGCTGGGTCCCAGGTGAGTCTCTCGAAAAACCAAATTAGTTTGCAAATGAGTGTATATTTGCTAATTTCGTGCAATTGGGTTTCAAGTAGGACATAAGGTTGACGGAAACTCGGGGACTGCGCCCACCTGATGAGCCCCAAAAAGGGCGAAACCGGTCACGGGCTGTTGACGGATTTTCAGCAGCTTTATGAGTAGTAAATTACAAAGATATAAATGTCGAATTCACTTCATTGCATAGATACTTTAGAATTGATGAAAACAACCTGGGTTGTAGAATGATTCCATCCGAAAAAATACCGCCAACGAGGGTTGTAAATGCGTTAGTACAATGGTTCTCAAAACAGAGGATTCGAATCCACACATTCATCTAGAAGTTCAAGTGGACGGGAGAAGAAAACATCCCCAAGATCTACAGACACCACTGGATGAAATACTGATCGTTGCTTTGACTGGTAAAATGACTAATTTCGAGTGGTGAGGACTGACATTTATTCGGTGCATTTGACTCACATGGCATGTCGACCGTTGCTGATATATCGGTAGCGCTCTATCTTTCCCGAGAGAAGTGAATTCTTAACCGAATGGCTAATAATTGGAAGGCTAGATGATATAATTCATGAAAGTCTCCTACAAAAGTCACAATGCATCACAACACATGGCAAGATAGAGTAGTTTAAAGAGGAACCAATCAATGAGAACTTCTCGAGAATGGGCTAGCTGCCAAGGGTCACGGGACCACAAACTTCCATTTGCTTCTACTGCAACTTTTTGTCCTCCAAGAGCATCTTAACGACTATGTGGTAATTGGTTATACTTGAGCGAAACCCAAGGAGGTAGACTGTTATCAGTTCAACTACGAAGCAAGCGACAATGAAGTCAAACAACGTTGAAACTTTCGTGCAGTCTACCAGCGTCAAACAGGGAGATAAACGATAACATCATCATCGGCAGCATGACATCAGTGTTCAACATCGATGCTTCACTGCCGTATTCACGATAAAAGCGATAGGAAGTTTTTTCCGAAGTTCACACAATCAGAGTGCTGATACGTGACCGGTCACGGGATACTGCAAAAACAGAAAGGTTTAGTGCCTTGGCTAGAAAGCACAGTTTACGGACAAGGGCGTGACGACATAGTTGAAAAGTGCATCTAGTATTCGGTTCGACCACATGAAGTTACATCGACCGTCCAAAAATTGGGAGAATACATCTCAGGTCGACTGTGTAGACGCATATCGCCTATCATGGTTGGACGGGTCTATCAGTCAGTTTTAAAAACCGACTGCAGGAAGCATTTGAGAAACGAAGACAACGTGCGTCAATGCAATGTGTATAGTGCTGTGATGGTTCTTTGTGGGTGGGAATTCGTGATCACGATTTTCGTCAAATCAAGGGAGGAGGCAGTCACAGCAACCCGGATACGGAAGCGCCGTGGAGACTCATGACTAAACAAAAAGCAATCTGAGGTAAATGATCCTTTCTCATGCGACCACGTCGCCCACACAGCCTCACCGGTTCGTGTCACTGGAGATAGGCTTATTCGGAAAGCGGCTCTGTAAAGCGAGACAATCGAGGGGCGAATACTGAAGGCTGCCGCCTATCTCCCACTTACATCAGCAATGCCTATGACCCATATAACAAAGGTGGACACTCGCTTTGAACTAAAAGCGTAAGTCATGTGCCAGAGGCTGGCAAAATTATGAACATCCATCCGACAACCCAGAGGAACTCAATTTCGCTGGAAGTTAAGTGTTTCGTTTAGGGCTACAGTGATAGTGCATGTAGCGGTTCCAATAATACAATAATCGGTGCCCAGCTGCCGTGCCACACGAAGGAGGCACGAGGATTGGGATACTGCTAGGTTGCCCAAACCTAGACAGGGGAAGTCGAGAGACAGAAGTCAGGTTCAAACCACAGAATTGGTGAGCATAAGAGGAGAATAAACAAACCACCAAGGGATGCGGGAGAATGCCTGGGTAGTGCCGTGCCAAAGGCAAAATTCTCAGCACTTTGCAAAGAGGTAGCAATCATGTCGCAGAACAAACTCATTTGGAACGAACAGTTGGAAGAGACTCCGAGAGACAATTCTGGTAAATTTATCGAACATCCGGATCTACCAGTCTCTCAGTTGCTAAGCGATTAGTCCGCACCTTACGCGGTCCTGGAAATTGAAGGGAACTACAAATGTGTTCCAAAACGAACCGCAGTCAGTTATTGATCCACATCATCGGTAACTGATGGCAATGTGATCAATTTGAGTTCGTAGCCGACATGCTGCTGTAAGATACCAAATGGACAGACGACTTCAACTATTTCGGAAGTTAGTACTGAATGAAAACAAGCTCCGGTCAGCATATACTCCAAGTAATCCTTCGCCGTCGTCCGTACTTAGCGAACCCAATCCACATAGACTACCTAATCCAGTCTCAGATGGGCTAAGCCTGACCAATCATGCACTCGGATTTACGGCAACCAGAACGGTAGCTGAGCTTCTAGTTCGCCGCAACAGGGCATTCAAGGCATCATAAAACGTGTCTTTGATGGTGTCAGAGCTAGAGTCGGTTGGAGCTTAAGCAGACATGACAAACAGACAGCGATCAACATCGATGTCAAGCGAGCCCAGTATGAGGGAAAGAGCAGCTTGCTGTTCTGTTCGCTTCAGAGTGTAAACATTTGAAAACAGCCAAACAGACTGAGCGTCGAGGGTTGAAGATTGATTCCGAGATGCCTGAGAATTTGGGTGCCGGATGAGGCGCAGATGTTGCTCGAAAAACCGATGCACGACGAACGGAGTCACAAGTCCTAAGCGCTGGGCCTACAAGGAGAGTTACTAATAGGGTGGAAGAAAAAGTATTTGAAAGAGAAAAAGTGGGCGTCAGTAGTGACCTGTTTTCGCTCACCCGTCCTGCTGTATTAAGCAAGTAAGGCGACCCAGGCGATGACACCGCGAGACGGCCAATATAGCACGAGATTATTTAGTTGTGCGATTCATGATTGTACTTGAGCTGGGATACTGCCAGGGTGCCCAGACCTAGATAGGGGGACAACTAAGGGTTTAAACCAAAGCCTGACCATAGGGCAGCTGTGTGGCGGAAAATGCAACTGCATTGCCGTTTTTACAGAAAAAAAACGCCACACTTGCTCCAACCCCAACATGGAGGGCCAGAACTCTAACCATTAACCAACCTGGCATGAGAGATTCTGCGACTGTCGCACGGACACTTTCCAGTATAGTTTAATGAGTCACGGAGGCACGCAAGCCGTCATGTCACGGTAAGGTCCAGTCTCTTTGTGACGGATAAGCCTGTATCATACTAATGGATACGGTGTTGGTTAGTTTACCGTGTAACATGAAAGCGGACCTTCGACAGAAACAAATGAATCGAAACTTGAAGTCATTAGTATGAACTGGAATGCGAATTCTCACATTCCACGGCCATTTGTTGAGGTCACTCGGTGTCTACTAGACTGGTGACTGGTACTGTGGAAGATCAAGTCACTGAATATATCAAAATAGCTAGTGCTGTATTAGCGAAGCGACCGGTGTGATGGAGAAAAAAGAATTCACCCAATCCGAACCGCGGGACGTGCAGCATTATAAACACGACTGACTGAATACGCTAGCAGATTTTCGACTATGTTGTCTCTAATTCATGGGCTATAAAAGTACTTTCTGCAAACCAGCGATGGTGAAACGTTAGCAGCTAGATGCGTGCGTCTCTGAAAGGAGCCCCGATGCGCAGTAGTTGGAGGAAAAAGCCTGTATGGTGTAGCAGCACAGGGTAAACATCACCATCTGTATTTTGAACTACACAGTCCCCTATCCGTACATTACATCCGTTTGATGCCTTCCATGTGAAACCAGTTAATTCCGCGTCTTCCGACATAGCCAGGTTGAAGGTTTCCTCAAACTAGGTGTCGCAACCTGTCTAGGGACAATTGGGCAGGGTTGCTTAACAACGAATATACTACTGTGCGTAAGAAAAGACCTGATGAGCTGCATTAGACATTCGTCTTGGGATTCACACCAGATTCATGTCTTACCTTCCCGTTGGGTGGTATACTTTCTTCAAGGTTCAAAGGTAGTCGAGTATCATTATCCGACACTATGAACAGGTAATTCCAGCCATCAACCTATGACCAGGGTGATAGGTTGCGGAAATGGTCCAGAGCTTTGCAAACATGTTTCCCGCAAGATCACTTCACACTTACTAGGCCATAATGAAGAAACTCTCGAATTGAAGCAAGTGGGGTTCTTGTGACCGTTGCTAAACATAGGAAGAAAAACCTATTGCTTATTTCACATCAAAAACAAGCTAAACGTGTGGGGGCTTTAGTGATTTGAATAGTTCAAGATACTCATGGTTATATGGCGGTTCTGCGCCCGGGG